TGCAATTATTTTTCTGAACATATTTTATTTTATCTGGTGGCTTCTTCAATTTGATATTTTCAGTTTCATTAGCAGGACTTTCCTTGTTTCCATTCGCTGCATCTTCTTCACCTGCAAGTTTCTCGTCACCCAAATTCTTCTCAGTTTCATTCGCCACTTCATCAGTTGCTTTCACAATTTTATTTCCTCGTCCAATCCCAATTTCTGCATCATTGGTATTGTCAACAAAACCTCTTTTTCTCTTCAAGACCACATCCTTTTCTTCAAATGCACCTTCCATTTTTTGCCGTTCTCGGCTCCTTCATTGTCGTCTTCCTCGTCGACCTCTTCCTCTTCCACGCCAGTTCTGTTGACTTGATTGTCCTACCTCATCATTACAACCTTCTTGACTTCGGCCTCGGCCTCTACCATTACGGCCAGTGCCTCGTCCACCGCGACCACGTCCTCTACCTCAGAAGTTTTGAGAATAGAGAGCCTTCTCATCTTTAAGTGTTGCTTTGGTCTGAAGTGCTTGTCCAAGAGTCTCCTCCTCCTTCTTCTTCCGTTGCTCATGCGCTTCAAGAGAACCGGCTAGCTCATCAATGGTGAGCGTAGCTAGATCTTTGGATTCTTCTATAGCACATACCACGTTCTCAAAGCTGTCGATCAAAGATCTCAAGATCTTCTCCACCACTCTGGTGTCCGCTACATCTTCTCCATTTCGTTTCAATTGATTCACAATGGTTTGAACACGAGTAATGAACTCGGATACTCCTTCTGTGTCCTTCATCTTCATTCCCTCCAACTCGGCAAGAAGGGTTTGAAGCCGAACTTGCTTAACTCGGTTGGCTCCTCTATAGACATTTTCCAGAATGTCCCACGCTTCCTTTGAGGTCTCCGCATTCGCTATCTTTTCAAAGCCGGACTCGTCTACAGCTTTAAAGAGCATGAACAACGCTGCCTTGTCCTTTGCACGTGTCTCTTTCAACGTTCTAGTTTGGGCCGCCGTGTATCCTGCGGTGGTCGCTGGTTCTGCAAAGCCTTCCTGGACGACCTCCCAAGCTTCCTGGGAACCGAGAAGAGCCTTCATCTGGATACTCCAATTCTCGTAATTTCCTTTTGTCAATTTAGGCAACGCCATATTACTTACACTCTCCATAGCTCTGATACCAATTTGTTAGAATTGAATATCCACACAGATGCAAGAGACAACCATACTTGTGTATCTACAAAAGAACTTTTCTTTTCTATTCTTGCTTTCTTGCTCTTTTTCTTTTTCTCTTGATCTACTTGATTTACATTTCATACAAACTATCAAAGGCTATTTATAAGCTATAAAACTGACCAACATAACTCCACACATAACACCCTCATTACTTTATAACTGACATAACTGACTCATTAATATTCTAACTGACATAACACATAATGACTACTTCTTAGAAACTTTAAACTCATTAATGTCCACTAACACATTCCTAAGGACATGACTCTTCACTAGAAAACTCTTCACATTTCTATTTTATATTTTCTATTTTTATCTCATTAAAATTTAACCCAACAAAACTCCCCCACAAATTTTAAATTCTTCTTTCTTTCTTCGAGTTGCTTCTACTTTTCTTCAACTTTCTGATCGCTCCTGCTTTCTTCAATCTTGATCACTGACAAAAAACATCTAACACCTTCCAACTTAATTAACTCAAAAAAACATCTCCCCTGCAATTATTTTTCTGAACATATTTTATTTTATCTGGTGGCTTCTTCAATTTGATATTTTCAATTTCATTAGCAGGACTTTCCTTGTTTCCATTCGCTGCATGTTCTTCACCTGCAAGTTTCTCGTCACCCAAATTCTTCTCAGTTTCATTCGCCACTTCATCAGTTGCTTTCACAATTTTATTTCCTCGTCCAATCCCAATTTCTGCATCATTGGTATTGTCAACAAAACCTCTTTTTCTCTTCAAGACCACATCCTTTTCTTCAAATGCACCTTCCATTTTTCGCCGTTCTCGGCTCCTTCATTGTCGTCTTCCTCGTCGACCTCTTCCTCTTCCACGCCAGTTCTATTGACTTGATTGTCCTACCTCATCATTACAACCTTCTTGACTTCGGCCTCGGCCTCTACCATTACGGCCAGTGCCTCGTCCACCGCGACCACGTACTCTACCTCAGAAGTTTTGAGAATAGAGAGCCTTCTCATCTTTAAGTGTTGCTTTGGTCTGAAGTGCTTGTCCAAGAGTCTCCTCCTCCTTCTTCTTCCGTTGCTCATGCGCTTCAAGAGAACCGGCTAGCTCATCAATGGTGAGCGTAGCTAGATCTTTGGATTCTTCTATAGCACATACCACGTTCTCAAAGCTGTCGCTCAAAGATCTTAAGATCTTCTCCACCACTCTGGTGTCCGCTACATCTTCTCCATTTCGTTTCAATTGATTCACAATGGTTTGAACACGAGTAATGAACTCGGATACTCCTTCTGTGTCCTTCATCTTCATTCCCTCCAACTCGGCACGAAGGGTTTGAAGCCGAACTTGCTTAACTCGGTTGGCTCCTCTATAGACATTTTCCAGAATGTCCCACGCTTCCTTTGAGGTCTCCGCATTCGCTATCTTTTCAAAGTCGGACTCGTCTACAGCTCGAAAGAGCATGGACAACGCTGCCTTGTCCTTTGCACGTGTCTCTTTCAACGTTCTAGTTTGGGCCGCCGTGTATCCTGCGGTGGTCGCTGGTTCTGCAAAGCCTTCCTGGACGACCTCCCAAGCTTCCTGGGAACCGAGAAGAGCCTTCATCTGGATACTCCAATTCTCGTAATTTCCTTTTGTCAATTTAGGCAACGCCATATTACTTACACTCTCCATAGCTCTGATACCAATTTGTTAGAATTGAATATCCACACAGATGCAAGGGACAACCATACTTGTGTATCTACAAAAGAACTTTTCTTTTCTATTCTTGCTTTCTTGCTCCTTTTCTTTTTCTCTTGATCTACTTGATTTACATTTCATACAAACTATCAAAGGCTATTTATAAGCTATAAAACTGACCAACATAACTCCACACATAATACCCTCATTACTTTATAACTGACATAACTGACTCATTAATATTCTAACTGACATAACACATAATGACTACTTCTTAGAAACTTTAAACTCATTAATGTCCACTAACACATTCCTAAGGACATGACTCTTCACTAGAAAACTCTTCACATTTCTATTTTCTATTTTCTATTTTTATCTCATTAAAATTTAACCCAACAAAACTCCCCCACAAATTTTAAATTCTTCTTTCTTTCTTCGAGTTGCTTCTACTTTTCTTCAACTTTCTGATCGCGCCTGCTTTCTTCAATCTTGATCACTGACAAAAAACATCTAACACCTTCCAACTTAATTAACTCAAAAAAACATCTCCCCTGCAATTATTTTTCTGAACATATTTTATTTTATCTGGTGGCTTCTTCAATTTGATATTTTCAGTTTCATTAGTAGGACTTTCCTTGTTTCCATTCGCTGCATCTTCTTCACCTGCAAGTTTCTCGTCACCCAAATTCTTCTCAGTTTCATTCGCCACTTCATCAGTTGCTTTCACAATTTTATTTCCTCGTCCAATTCCAATTTCTGCATCATTGGTATTGTCAACAAAACCTTTTTTTCTCTTCAAGACCACATCCTTTTCTTCAAATGCACCTTCCATTTTTCGCCGTTCTCGGCTCCTTCATTGTCGTCTTCCTCGTCGACCTCTTCCTCTTCCACGCCAGTTCTGTTGACTTGATTGTCCTACCTTATCATTACAACCTTCTTGACTTCGGCCTCGGCCTCTACCATTACGGCCAGTGCCTCGTCCACCGCGACCACGTCCTCTACCTCGGAAGTTTTGAGAATAGAGAGCCTTCTTATCTTTAAGTGTTGCTTTGGTCTGAAGTGCTTGTCCAAGAGTCTCCTCCTTCTTCTTCTTCCGTTGCTCATGCGCTTCAAGAGAATCGGCTAGCTCATCAATGGTGAGCGTAGCTAGATCTTTGGATTCTTCTATAGCACATACCACGTTCTCAAAGCTGTCGGTCAAAGATCTCAAGATCTTCTCCACCACTCTGGTGTCCGCTACATCTTCTCCATTTCTTTTCAATTGATTCACAATGGTTTGAACACGAGTAATGAACTCAGATACTCCTTCTGTGTCCTTCATCTTCATTCCCTCCAACTCGGCACGAAGGGTTTGAAGCCGAACTTGCTTAACTCGGTTGGCTCCTCTATAGACATTTTCCAGAATGTCTCACTCTTCCTTTGAGGTCTCCGCATTCGCTATCTTTTCAAAGCCGGACTCGTCTACAGCTCGAAAGAGCATGAACAACGCTGCCTTGTCCTTTGCACGTGTCTCTTTCAACGTTCTAGTTTGGGCCTCCGTGTATCCTGCGGTGGTCGTTGGTTCTGCAAAGCCTTCCTGGACGACCTCCCAAGCTTCCTGGGAACCGAGAAGAGCCTTCATCTGGATACCCCAATTCTCGTAATTTCCTTTTGTCAATTTAGGCAACGCCATATTACTTACACTCTCCATAGCTCTGATACCAATTTGTTAAAATTGAATATTCATACAGATGCAAGAGACAACCATACTTGTGTATCTACAAAAGAACTTTTCTTTTCTATTCTTGCTTTCTTGCTCTTTTTCTTTTTCTCTTGATCTACTTGATTTACATTTCATACAAACTATCAAAGGCTATTTATAAGCTATAAAACTGACCAACATAACTCCACACATAACACCCTCATTACTTTATAACTGACATTACTGACTCATTAATATTCTAACTGACATAACACATAATGACTACTTCTTAGAAACTTTAAACTCATTAATGTCCACTGACACATTCCTAAGGACATGACTCTTCACTAGAAAACTCTTCACATTTCTATTTTCTATTTTCTATTTTTATCTCATTAACATTTAACCCAACAATATATTACATGACTTGAAAAAACTATTACATAAAAATGACACTTAAGTTTCGTTATAGTCGGATACTTATTTCGAGTCTCAAGTCATCCATCACTAACAAATCTTCAATGGGTTCCCACACAAACAATCGTTGTTACTAAACGACGATGCTTGTAGGTGATCAAAGGGTGACCCGTTTGGGATGGATCCACACAAATGATTATGGCTAAGGTCCAAATGCCCGATGTACTTGGCTGATGACAACGAACCAGGTACCCTTCCCTTCAAGTCGTTATATGATAAATCGAGAACCATGAAATACGATTTTGAACCAAAAACATCTGGTATAGTACCTTCAAACCCGTTGCGACTTAGATTCAGGATACCCATCCCCGGGTTGCTTAACAAACTCGAAGGTATTTGACCCGAAAGAGAGTTACTATCCAAATTCAGGGTAGACAGAACCCGCATTCTCCCAAGATCTGCTGGAACCGAACCGGAGATCCGGTTCATGGACAAATCTAAGTCTGCTAGCCTGTAAACTTTTGCTATGGAAACCGGAATCGAACCGGAGAGCTGGTTCCGGTTCAACAATGCGCGGCTCAACATGCTTAGTTTCCCAAAATCGACGGGGATCTCACCGATGATTTCATTGTTGCTGAGATCAAGATGCTTGAGGGAAGCGAGGTCGACGATCGACGCCGGAATCTCACCGGAGATGGCATTGTCGGCGAGGTTCAGGATGGTGAGCCGTTGCAAATTACCGATTTCGTCCGGAATCTTGCCAGAGATTCGGTTCCCAATGAAGTCAAGGATGCGGAGGGAGGAGAGGGAGGTGACACAGGAGGGGATCTCGCCGGCAATGGCCTTCCAGTCGGCGACGACAAGGCTCATAAGGCTGTCAATCTTACAAATCTCCGGCGAGATTTTCCCGGTCATGTAGCCGGAGCGACCCGCCCTCTCGAAGATCGGGTCCTCCGACTCACCGCGGAGGTTGATGTCAGAAACGCGACCGGTAGTGGCATCGCAGCTAACGCCGTACCAGTTGAGGCAGCAGTTGTTGCCGGACCACGAGTTGAAGACGCCGAGGTAGGGCTCGTTTAGGGCCACCTTGAAGGCAAGCAAGGCCGTCCGGTCCGTTGGCGGACAACCATTCACTGTGGCCGCGGCGGCAAGAATGACCATGACCGTTACTAATAATAAGAACGTAGCCATTGAGTGCGGTTTACTCAGCTCTAGAGAGAAAATCAATGAAAATTGTTTTCTTCAGTGTCAGTTTGCGTGTTTTTAGGTTTGTATGGGTTATATACACGTATTGAGTGACTAAATTGCCCTTGAATGTTTCTGTTATTAAGTCGGCTCACCTTTGTGTTGTACTGTTACGCACATGCAGTTGCCGGTGCCTTCCATATATGGTGGGGTTAAGCTTCAAGCCTTGTTTGTTTGAGGGTTCAAAACTACATTAATTAAACAATCATTGACCTGTGCTAACCTAAACAAGGATTCCTTCAATCAAAGCTTATATTACTATTCACATCACATGCCTTCTTTTGTCCATTTCAACCTCAGAAGAGGTGAAGTTGGTCAAGACTATATCATAGTGATATGATGAGATGACATGTGATTTAACTCATGTAACAGAGATATACCCAAATGGATTGCAAACGGAAAACTGTAAAGAGAGGATCTTAAGTAAATAGAAAAAATGTTGCTAGGATCTCATAAGAATAAGTGGGAAGAAAAATAATAAACATAATGGAGTGACCAGTGAGTGTGGTTGTGATTGCTTACACAGAATCAGCATCCTTAAGGCTACTGGATAGGCCTGTCGTCAATCAGTCATTATTGGATTAGAAGTTTACAACTACTCATGAGCCGTACTAGTTCTATTTTATCGGATTAAATTCTTGATCAAACTTATTATTAGACTAATGAAAAACAAGGTGTTAATAGTATCACCGCGTTAAGACGTGCCACATTAGATGCCGAGTTACACGTAAAACGAGCAGCTTAAATGCGGTTGTGTCAGTGTGCCGAGTTTGACCCATCAAAAACGCGCCACTTAGAGAGCAAAGACACATCACTTATGGTGGCGCCTTTAATTTAATGGCGTCAGAGAGCAAAAACACGCCCCTTATGGCCTCTCTCTCTTTCAGCCAGACTTTCTAATTTGTTCCTTCTAGAAGGTCTTTTGGAGAAAACCCATCTGGATTTGGATGCCTTTTTATCAAAAGAATCTGCTATTTCCAGTTTGGAAGCCTCCTCTTGTGCAGGAATTGTGAACCTTGTACCAGAAAAGCAGCCACATCAGCATCTATCAGAGGATTCTTCTGATACTGACATAGAACTTGAACAAAAATCACTACCTAGCTTACATGAAAAATCACTCCAAGGAGTGACAAGCATCAAGAAGAAAGATAGAGATAAACTTCGAATAACTGTGGTTACTGCTGCGTTAGGCTTATTCCTTGCTGATTTTGAAGATATCTATAAACTTTGGGCTTTTGTTGCTCGTTTCCTTGATGCTGACTTGGTGGAGAAGGAGAGGTGCAGATACGCTGCTCTCAATCAGAAAACAATTGAAGTTTGATTCCATAAAATTTTCTTTTATTGTTCTGGGGATTATTGATCTAAGAACGGTCTAAGTGTCTTGTACAGAGGCGTGTCTTTGCTCTCTGACACCACTAAACGCGGCACCATAAGTGGCACATCTTTGTTATACAACTGCTTGCTTCTGAGCTGCTCATTTTACGTATAACTCGGCATCTTATGTGACATTTCTTAATGCGGTGATACTATTATCGCGGTATTTTGCATTAGTTGAATAATAAGTTTCACCAAAAACTTAATTCGTTAAAACTTTTTTAAGATGGAATCAGTACAGTCAAAAAGCCAAACTACTGGATCATCCACATGCAGAGAGGACCACTTAAAATGCAAATGCCAGAGAAGTAGGAGTCCATACATGTATACAACGTCACCTCTCTGTACTACCGACACATGTATTCATTACTACTTTTATTGCACATTACACGTGGATTTGGATGGCATAAAGACTTGGCTCATATAATTAATGCATATGGGAAAGTATGAGGTACAGCAGCATGTGCCCCCCTAGTGGTCGTTGCGCTAAATTGTTTCCTTATTTAGCTATTTTATTCCTGCATTTTCAAGGATTCAAAATGGCAAAACAATTAGAACTTTGGAAATATTAAAAAAATTAAAAATTCCCTTTGACAGACTGTTACGCATAAAAGAGTAGCAAGAGTAAGACGTAAGCCATTTTGGTCAAAGGATTCCTGTGCTGTTTAGTAGATGTATATTTGTAGACACGTTTTGTAATTAGGAGTGAATTTAGTTGAGTTGCTGTTAGGGGATTGGTTAGTTGTTACAGCAAGGGGGGTTATGTGTCTGTAAGGGAAATGAATAAGGGAGACTCTATAAAAGGGTATTGTAAAGTACACTATTGGTATCTGATAAATGAAAACTCAAGTTACGCTTTTGCCGTTACCATTTTCCCTCTTCTTGATATTTGACGTATCAACTGGTGCTTCCATTGACTTGAACTCCACTACCACCATGAGAGTTCAAGATCTTGCAGAGGAGTTTGCTTCTCATCGTCTTGAAGTGTAGCAACGCTTGGAGCAGATCACGGATTCGTTGGATGCTCGATTTGCAGCAATTGATGCACGCCTTCGCGACTTGTTGACGATGCCACAGGTATCACAAACCTCTCCAATTCGTGTTACCCAGACGAATGCTAACATGGAGAACGTTGATTCGCGTGTTCTATGCAAGAATGTGAAAATGTAGATTCCAATTTTCAATGGCCAAGATCCTAATCATTGGATCTTAAAACAGAATTGTATTTTAGGTTACAACAGGTTCCAGAGATCTTGAAGGTGCAATTGGTTGGGTTGAAAATGGAGGGTGTTGCTGCCCCTTGGTACTAGTGGTTGTTCGACAGTGGTACGATTGCTTCTTGGAGTGATTTCTGTGTTACTCTTCGGGAACGATTCACTCTTCCCAATCATAGAGAAATTAGAGGAGTCCTTTCTAAGCTGACCCAAACTTCTTCATTGTTGGTATACATTCGAGTTTGAGCAGTTGATTAATCAAGCTCCAGATCTAAGTGATGACTTGTTAATGGCGTTCTTCATCTCTGGGTTACAACCAGAATTAAGGGGCACTATTCAATTGCATTGGCCAACCTCTCTTCATCACGCTATTCAGTTAGCTATCTCTTATGACTCGCATTTCTCTCAACTTCATTCATCTTTCCTGCCAACATCGAAGAAATATATTACTAATCGTTTCTCAGCCAACACTTGGCAACAAAATACGGATAAACAGAATTCAGGGCAGCCTTCAGGGATGTTAACAAATCAACCATCAATTCTGGCCTTACCTTCGAGTTCAAACGCAGCATCAACTTCCCTTCCAATCAAGAAGATGTCAAACGATGAGTTACAAAAGAAAAGAGCCTTAGGTCTCTGTTATACATGCGATGAAAAGTGGATTGCAAAACACAGGTGCAAGGCAAAGATGTTATTTCTGGTTGGTGAGTTAGAAGATTGTCGGTCAAAGATCAACCCAACAAAGATAATGGTTTAGAACCTGACGAAGAGATTGTGTGGCAAAGTGATGTTAAAGGTGGAGTCACTAATGATGCAACTTTGCATACCTTGGTTGGAGGTATCAATCCACGTTCCCTACACTTATCTTCTACTATTGCTGATACAAAAGTAGAAGTGTTAATTAATTCGGGGAGTTCACACAACTTCATCCGAAGACAACTAGTTGAAGATCTTAAATTGCCCACTCTTCGCTCCAATCGGATGCATGATTTTATGGGTAATGGCGAATTCATGTTATGTGAAAGGAGGTGTCCCAATGTACCTATACGGATACAAGGGTGTCTATTCCATGCAGATTTGTGGGTAATAGAGCTAAATGGGTTAAATGTGATATTGGGTATGCATTGGCTCAGTAAACTAGGTCGTGTCACACAGGAACAGTAGGTTCACTCTGATAGCAAACAGTTGCTCGCTGCGTTATGTATGTGATCCTTCCTGTTTAGAAGAAGGTGAGATAACAATCATTTGAGTTTTTATAAGTACTAAATGAAATAAAATAAAACTACCAAAACAGAAATAACTATAATCAAGAGACAACAGGGTGGTGGTTAAAACAGTTTAACAGAAGGAACGGATTCACTGCTTCACTCTTAAAGGGGTTGTTTTCTCTGCTCAAGACTTAGCACCTTTTGGCTTTGTCCCAGTTTCTTTGCTTGCCAACTCTGATTCCTCAGCTAATGGTCTAGATGGCTCACAAGTTTCCATATTCCTATGGCTCCCTTGACTCCAACAGGTACTTAGTTCAGAACCTTAAAATGGACGAGTTGGCCCCTTATTCCTAAGATGACCAGTAGCGTTTTTGCCATGACATCTACCTTCCCCCAATGGCTAAGCTGTTTGCAATCCCTTCTTTATGGAAGTTCCTTTCTCAGTATGTACCCAATTTCCATTGGCGCACAATGAATATAGCTTACTTAGCCAAAGAAATACAAAAAGCTTCGGTCTAAGAGTTTTGAAAACAGTTCTTTAAGAGTTTCACAGTTTACCCGTTCCACAGATAGTTCAGCTCATGGCTGATAGTTTAAACATAATTATTCTCAACTGAGATCACATAGACCCGAGATTCAGTCAAGAGATAACGATTGGAACGAAGAGAAAGACACTTATATTAATTTAAAAGACAGTTTACAAAAAGAAACAGCAAATAGAGAAAGATGGGTATTTGCTCGTGAGGAGTCTTGATGGTTGTTTATAGAGAAGAGAAAATGGGTTGTCACTTAACTACAGTTACAACTGAAAATTAAACTAAGTTACTAACTACTCCTAAGTGATCTCTTCCTTTCGGACTGCAAACCCTCCAGGATTCGATGATGTTTTTGTGCGAGGGTGGTCCTATTTATAGCTGGAAGAGGAGTGGCAAGACTGTTTGAAGCTAGTTGCTTGAATGAGGGGACGGGACGGTGGCAGCAGAGTGTGAAGCTTGCGTGAATTGCTGAATGGAACAGGGTTTGGTGATGATTAGCCGTTGTTTGCAGACCTTCCCATGTTTTGCTTCGGTTTTCAGCCAATGAGAACTCTTGATTCTCTGCTCTTCACGTTTCCAGCTGCTCAGTTGGTGCACCGCCTTGCTTTTTAGAA